GTAAATGCATAAGGTAGAACTATATAATGGTTAACTCCCACACAGCCATGTATGTTGCTACTTCGCAGTTGGTAATATAATAATTGTGGGGCATGACCGGGTACTTCAGATTTCAAATTTCCTATCTTCTAGTGGAAGGGAGAGAACTAAGGAGAAGCAAGCCTGCAAAAGGTTGCTCAGAAATAAAGTCTATTACCAAATAATAGACTTAGAGGCTACATTCACATAAGACAACAAACAGCCCTGCATGGCTACCACAGTTCCCAGATTTTTACCATGAACTACCGACAACCAAACAAGTTGATTCTACTGTATGAGGGTTTCCGTCCTCCCTGATCAGTCTGCCAACTGTTTGCATATATCCCATCAGCCACTGTCCCTGGAATTCAATTCCATGCTTCATCACTCCCTGCCTATGTCACCTGTCTCTTCCTCATTGGTCCATGAATAGAGGCTGGATGGCTGGAGTGGCTCCTGCAGTTGCCACTCTTTCCAGAGGTCTCTGTGGTTGTTGCATACCTGAACCATGGAAACCATGATCCTGCATTCAGACAACACAACAAACCATGGTGCCACAGATAAAGCATAGAACAAACCATTGTTTCTTATCATGATTTCTAAAGAGCAAACTTACCCTGCTGAAATACCATGACTGGATTTGGGGAACATGAGAGACCAGCAATGGTTAAAACCCCTCAAGAATATGTCACCAGAATTTGCTTTGCTTTGCTTTGTTTTGCCTTTTTGGGTGGGGGGATCAGGCAAGTTAGATAAATTTGGCAGGATCTTCTGTAAGGCAAAGATACATTTTGGAAGACCCTGCAAAAGCATCCATCGCCACAACATAATTCTGGGCATCTGCTTACTGGCCTTGTTACAATTCAGTATCCCATTTAATGGAACAGAGTCATGACTTAGATGAAGCAAGTTAGAATTAGACTGAGGAAATTGAGAGTTTCAGCTTTTGAATCCTCCTGTATGCTAAATGAAGTGCTAATGTGCTGCTGGCTGAGGGTAGCGTGCTTAAATCCTTTAGGATTTTTTGGCTAGACTCATCTTGGGCCTTTTGCAAAGATGCAGATTAGTTGACAGGCTACAGTGGCTTGGAGGCTTTAGTGCAGAAAGTAGAACTAAACGGTTTCAGCAGTAATTCCACCAACAGGCACTATTACACAGTCATTTTTGTCCCTCCGTCTAGCTCAAGAAGTTTCTTGCTGGTGCTTCAGAGAAGCACTTCAGAAATAAAGGGCACTCCATGAAAAGTGCACACACCTCGGCCTTGTAGCAGGAAAACCTCGATTGTCCTACTCAGGCATTTCCAGAAGCATGTCACTCAACTTTGCAAAGTTGAGGATGGCTCAAGCTCTGCACACTTCCATTGTCATGTTCAGCATCCTGTACCTGTGCAGGAGCACTTTCCGAATAGGAATGCCTCCTTTTTCCATTGGCATTCTCCACACTAGCCAGCATGCTGGATAATGAGTACTCCAGAGCATCTGGGGGAGAAACACCCTGAATGGAGAAGGCTCTCCTTTTCAGACATTTTCGTCAAGTCCTCTACAACCCATGACTCCCCTATAAATGAAAGCCCTCCAAAATATCTCATCCATGGCAGCTCTGCTGAGCTTTTGTAAATTCCAGGCTGCGGCTTCCTTTATGGGGTCAAGCCATCTCATATTTGGTCTTCCTTTTCTTCCTCTGCCTTCAAGTTTCCCGAATGTGATTGTGTTCTCGAGGGATATGTCTTGGCTTCCCAGGATGTGCCCGACGTGTGACAGCCTCAGCTTTGTTATATTTGCTTCTAGGGAAAGCTCCAGCCTATCTGGGACCCACATGTTTCTCTTTCTGTCGGCCCAGGGTCTTCCCAAAGCTGTCTTCCAGCATCATGTTTCGAAGGCATTTCAATTTTCTTCCTATCGGCTTTCTTCACTGTGCGGCTTTAACACCCATTCATTGTGATTGGGGGTACAATAGTTTGGATGATCTTGACCTTGCTCTCCAGTAATACATCTGCACCCTTGATGATCTTTTCTAGTTCCTTCATTGCTGCCTTTCCAAGACTCGGCCTGCTTTGAATTTCTTGACTGCAGACTCCCTTTGAATTGATGACTGCAAAATCTTTCAGACATGAATGAATGTGCAATCTTTCAGACAGGGTGATGTCTTTCAACAACATCCTTTCGTGAATGCCTCTATAGGGCTATCGAGATTGTCACATTGCTGCTGTTTAAGCCTTAGTTATGAAAAAGAGCTCTGCTGATTCAGAACTTCAGTTCCATCTAATCTTGACTGTTTCTGCAACCTCAGTAAAGACCTCAATGCAGGATTGGGCCACAGCATAGGAACAGCTTTGAGAGATGAATCCTGCTGGCTTCCCAGAAGTTTGCATCTGCATTGCTCCCTCTGGTGTATCGATGAGCTTTGCAACTGCCAGGTGAATTCTGTATATGAAATTGGAATTGATTACATTTGGGAATGGAAGTAGAGCAGGGAAATATCTGAACATACCTGCATGGGAATATAAATACCAACCCCCTTTGGTTATTTACAGCCTCGTCCTATGATTGTAAACTGTAATTACATTCTTGTCTTGGGGCAAACCTAAATGCCGGCAATTCTTTAGGAAAGTCTGTGTGGTAGGGGTTTGCTTTGTTTCCCTGTTTCTGTGTTTGTTTCTTTGTTTGTTTGCATGTCTCTAGATGGATGGAACAAATTATCACATGGCCATAACCATGAGTGCTAAGCAGTTCTTAAAACACACACACAGAGTTTTGTTTACTTGGAGAAACCCTGTCCAAGTTTTAGAAGTGAGAGAGATAAAATCGTTTGTCACATTCTATCAGTAAATCTTAAAAGGATTGCACTCTTCTTTCTCTCTTTTCAGTCTTGGTTGCAGTTTTTGTTTGCTATGATGCTCCATTTCCAGGTAGTAATTATACATTTTGATACCAGGAGGAGCCAGCCGGTAATACAGGCAGTGAGTGCTTGGGATGCCCCTGGTTAGCATTAGGTCCAAAAGGAGGACTGCCCAACAGAGCCATGCAAACTTTGGGGCTCTTGAAGCCCACTTGAAATAAAAGGTGAGCCAGTGAAGCACTTAGCTTGGTTCCTAACTGAGGTCAAAATCTGAGCCATAGAACCACCCTGTGCTTCCCAGGAAGCAGGATTCTTGGAAGGCTCACCTAGCCAACAAAACCATTCTTGCATAAGCACCATCAATGCACTTACTTCCCTCTATTTCTCCCACCCCTAAATGCATAGTTAAGGTGCAATCCCATACCTGTGTAGAGAAGGAAAGGTGAGGGCATGCTGTAGAACATTTTCATGTCTAAAGCTGAATACAACTGCACCCCTAGAAAGCTATCTCTGCCCTTCTGCATCACCTGATATGATTGTGGAAGTCCTAACCATGGGATGAAGAACAGCATGACTTGGCTTTGTAAACTTCCTTGCATGGTATCCCTTCTGATGCCTCTGTCACATGTGCCTGGGGAGCTGACTGATGCTTCAGTCACACATGCCTCCCACACGCCTGGGGAGATGCCCTTTCAGTGGCTGGCCATCCTTTCTTCTGCCTCCATAGCCTTATATAGCAAAGGACACCATGGTCAGCCCCCATGGGGGAGAGACAAAAGAGGAAGACCCCTAGACCTGCTGATGGAGAGCAGCTCCTTTAATCCTACTGCCAAATGGCACACACACAGATACATGCCCAGAAAAACTGAGAGATGAACCCCTAAATTTGCTGCCCTTCACTGGGCTCCATGATAAGCTTCTTTCCAGGAGCAAATCACTCAAAAATGCCCCGTTCAGAACCCCACATGGAAAAAGGAGCGCCTGTGCTCCAAAAATGTCCAATAATTCCTGCACTTGCTTTCATGCTTTTAGAATATGAACCTTAAAAAAATCTATGTTGTTAAAGATACCTTTCTTCTTTTGAAAAGGTAGAGACAGAAATACTGACCAAGAAAGAAATGAGGATGGGTTCAAACATCTTTCTGTATCCAATAGTTCAGCTCTTTTAGTTCAGCTGTTGCTCTTTTAAACGATTTTCTGTCATCAGTTGCAGTTCAAAGATTTTCTATTTTATTTTTCAAATTTCTTAAAAAGAAAATATATTTATCTGAAACTGTCCCAATCAGTCTTGTCTTTTAAGCTTGTGCTAAAACGCTTATGCTTCTTTTGTTCTGGCTTCTGTTTTGGTTCCATTCATAATTTATCAGATATCGCTTATTAGAAAGTATACTTCACACATTCAGAAGTATTTATCACTTTAAATCTGGGCTTTTTATCAGAGTAAAAATAACATCTGTATTGTTTAAACAGAATCTTCTAAATGTAAATTGCAAAGCCTTCTTACATTTTTTGCTTGTCCACGTCCTTTGGTTGAGTTTGCACAAATGTCACACAATAAAATGGAATCCTAAAAGATGCCACATCAGTGGAGACAGTGGCTGGGTTCACACATCACAGTAAGCAGCCTACATTGTTTCCACACTGTGCAGTTTTATTGCTTGACTGTGCCCAACAGACAATCACCTGGTTTCCATGCTAGCATGGTTTCCACCTACCTCGTTCAGTCCTCCTGCCATTGGCACATATCCCATCAGGCACTTCAGCTGAAATTCAACCCCACAGAAGATGACTGGAGCACCTCTTGCAACAGCTGCCACTCTTTCCAGGGGGTTTTGTGATAGCTCTGTGGAAACCATGATCCAGGGTTCACATGATCAGAGAGATCATGGTGAAGCATGGAAATGATAGAACAGACTGTTGTTTCTTATTGTGTTTTCTAAAAACCAAATGTACCATCCATGACAGGGTCTGAATGACACAACAGACCACCAGACTGTTCAAGAAATCACCATGGCCTTTCATGTCATGTAAACCCACTCAGTGTCTTGCTGAAATTCCATCTATCAATAATCCATAAAGCAAATGGATAAATGTATAATTTAACATATGCTCCTGTATGTGTTTGTTTTTTCTTTCCTTGCTAGGAGATGACCCATTCCTGGCCTCCACCTCTCACTGCTATTCATACACCTGGGAAGGCTGAACAGAATAAGTTTTCCATTCCAAGCAAAGTGCAAGTAAGCTCAGAGCAGACTTACCAATGTATACCTCACTCACAGATTTGGGCAGGGAAATGACACCGTTCAGCCCCAAACATGCACATTTGGTCCTGCACATCAGCTCACAGTTCAAAAAGGACATGCGCACCCCCATCAAAGTAAAACCCCACATCCAATCAGTTGTGTGCTGAACATTATATCCACCTTGATATGTGTCGGAGCCTGTTTCTGGACACGGGTGAATCCCTTGGTGGATGGAAATAGCTTCCTTGAAGCCCAGTCACACAAGGACTTCCACAAAACAGCAGGGAGGAATCATAAAAAGGGACCATTCGATCCACTCAAAGCATGAGAGCCCTTTTAAAGCTCTGTATATATTAGTGGGAAGTGTTTTGCTCCGTCTTCCCTGGAAATTAATAGGGATTTAAAATTGATTGACTTTGATGGGATTGGGCGGCGTGCTTGTCATGCCCCCGCTCCCTTTCCCCAACTTAAGGAAGCTATCTGAAAATGGTAGCAAATTCTCTACAGCATGTCTCCTGAAAACACTGATGAAAAGCATACATTGTTATAGTCCCCTTTAAATTGAATATTCCCAGAAGAAGTGTAATAATGCATTAGGAATGGAGAGCATTCATTCTCGCAATTCATTTTCCTCTCCAACACTCAAACATAAAGTGCCATGTTTACCATTACAGCATGATTTGCTTCACAAGGGATCGTCTGGGAGTGTGGCAGAATATTAGGAACTAATCATGCCCCAAGAGAAAGGGTAGGAAAGTCTTTAATGGTGTCTGCATCCTATAGATCTGATATTGTTAACAAAACATTACAGGGATGATAGAATGGGTTCTTCTTTTTCTGCTTCTAAAAACTACCACTGAATTCATTATAATCAGACAGGTAGGAGTGGATAGACAGGCAGGTCCAGCAGAAACGTCTAACGTATGCCAGAAATGCCCTGTGCCATGAGGCCAAGGTCTGGGTCCTGTCATATTGCCTCTTGAGCCCTAAATTAGCCTGTGAATTCCCAGGGCCACAGACAACACAATTAATTGAATGTTCATCGGCCTAAAATATTTATACTTTGACTTCCCATCCCATCCCTTGAATGTTTAATGCAGTTAGTCATCACCAATATGCCAAATCAAAAGAGGTGGAAAAAGGAAAGAAACAGCACAGCTTTGGAAAGACAGAGCAAGATCTGCTTGTGTAAGAGGCCACCTCTGCCTGTACAGGCTGCCTGGTGCCAAGGAGATGGCAATATTGGCTCCAAGCAAGTCTCAGTGGGCAGGTCATTCCACTGTTATGGGGCCTCCATAGGATGACCTTATTCCTTGTGGACATCTTCCTTCCTTCCGTCCTTCCACAGAGAACCCTTTGTGACTGCCAGAGAAAGGCTTCAGATGTCAATCCAAATGTTTGGGTAGATGCAAATTAGGAGAGGTGTTCTGTTGGGTATTAGGATCCCAAGACATGTAGGTGAGAACAAGCTCACTGAATTGGGGTCAGAAGTATGCAGTCAGAGTGGGCCGGCATTGGGCATATATGTTCAGACTCTCTGGCCCCATTTACTAATCTGGCTGACACACTTTGCACAAACTGCAGCTTTTGAACAAGCTTCAGGGCAGCCCTAAGCAGAGTGCATTGCAGTAGTCTAACTTGAAGGCTATCAAAGCGTAATTACTGAAGCCAAGTTATTCCTGTCCACATTGGAACAAAGCTGGTAGAAGGCACTTCATGCTGCTGAAGTCACCTGAGTCTAAAGTGACAATTATGGCTCCAGGATGAACTTGAGCCAAGCTATGAATGAGTTCCTCCAGGGGGAGTGCAACCCCATCTGGAAAAGGTTGAATGCCCCACAGCCAGTTAGACGGATCACCTACTAGCAGCATCTCAGTCTTCTCTGGACCAGGCTTCAATGCACTAGCCCTTACCCAGTCTGTTGTCAAAGCCAGGCATGGATGAGCAAATCCACTGCCCCATCTGATGGAGATGAAATGGGGACATAGAGCTGTGTGTACTCAGGATGACCTACTCAGTAGTTTCATACATTTTAAATTGCATGAAGATAAGACTGCCTCTGGAGAAAGCCCTGCAGGAGAATCTACGGTAATTCCCAAGCACCATCTTCTGGAGTTGGCCATCCAAGCAGGGACAGAACCAGCGTATGCAGTACCCCGCTCTTCCATCTCAGATTCCATCCATGGCCCAGGGCCTTTAGAAAGAGGTGGCAGTGAGACCATTCCTGAAGGAATTACTTAATATTACCTCTAGAGCTACTATTGTTGTAAGAGGGGCATACTTCATTGTTAAAGTAGCCAGTGTGCCACTAGTCTAACACATTAATGGTGACCTTCCTTCCTGAGCACCTAACTAATGTGGACATTTTGTTTGCTTCTGTTATAGGATTCTCAGCATCTGACCTCAGGATACAATGTGCAAAGTAGGTCTTCATTACCCTTCCTCCGTTTTGCTCCCTCTTTGTCATTAAGACAAAGGATGGGAAACTATGTTCTCGTGTTGCTTAGCTTGATCATTGTGGGGTGGTTGTTACCTTGCTGCAGTGCTCTGTTGTGTTGTGTATCAAGTCACCTTCTGTCACTGAGAAATGCAGTGTCATGGAAGGCCACCACTAAACCCAGGACAATTATATTGATATGGCTCCTCTCTTTTCAGAATGGAATGAGCCCACCGGCAAAGTTGCAACCAAATCAGTGCCACAGAAATCGTAAGTACTTCTTAAACCCCGGCTTGATACATTTCAAACAGGATTCATGTCTGCCATGGTGCAGTGCGACTACACCTGACTGTTTCTTGACGTGTGCCAGACTGCAAATCTTGACATTCCTGTCTGGCATTGGTAATATGTAATCTACGCAGGGATGCTTGAGAAATATGCTTTTGCTCACAAATCACGCCAGCCTGACACATCCAAAGCCCCAGGGGTGAGCACCAGTACATAGCCAACAACACCGTTCAGACTGTGAAATGTGTACTCACATTGTTGTCATGCCCGTCTTTAGTTCAATTTGTGCAAAGTTTGTGATTTGCTCAAATTCTCTCCAGATTGAATCAGTCCTCCTTTGATCTGTGGAGGAAATCAGTGCCAACTAGGTGATTTGTCCATATTTTCCAGTGAGCAGTGATTAAAAATGGGAGCAGGAAGCAGGCAGAGGATGAGCTGTGACACAGTGTCGAGCAAATTTTGGCAATCTCAAACATTTTTCATTTACTGTTCCTGGTTATAACAGTGACGTCTGTGCACAGCATGTTGTTAGAAGCTAGGATAAAAGTTCTACATTCATGTTAGAGTGTATGTCTAATTTTAATTCACCCCCCAAAGTAATGTTTTAACTATCAGATGTTTGCGAAACACTGTTCTAACATTTGTTTATGATTTGGCAATGGTTACTCCTGGAACTAACTATGGCATGGTGAACAGTGGGTTGGATTGGGACTCAAGAGATATGAGTTCTTGTCTCCACTTGGCTGTGAAGTTAACTTTGGGCCAGTCATGGATTTTCAGCTTCATCTACCACATAGTGTTGCTGTTGGGAGGATAAAGTGGTAGAGAGGAGAACCTTATAAGCCACTTTGGTTCCTTGCAAGAGGAATAGAGTGGAGTATAAATGCAGGGTGGTGGTGGTGGTGGTGGTGGTGGTGGTGGTGGTGATGATGATGATGATGATGATGGAGAGCCAGTGTGGTATGGTGATTAGACTGCTGGACTTGGGAACTGGACGATCTGGGTCCTAGTCCCCACTCATCCATGAAGTCCCTCACTGGGGGACTTTGGGCCAGTCACTCCCTCTCAGCCCAACCAACGCACAGGGTTGTTCTTGTGAAGATACAATGGAGCAATACAAGTCACCTTGGATTCCTCCAGGAAGAAGAAAAGTGGGATATAAATGTAATATAACAACAATAATAATAGATCTGAGAACCAGACCTGATGATCCCTTTGCAGATGCTCTGAGCACACTCCACAGTTTGTGCAAAACATCAGCAGTGTATACAGGTGTTAACCTCTTTCACCCATTCCTTCAGAGTATTGGTTTCTTCATCCAGCTGTGTGTGTGTGTGAAAGCTATAATACAGCCCCCAGGAACACAGTAAATGGAAGCACCATCTACTTGCCTCAGTTTCTCTGCCTCAAGTGCCTTTCACTCAAAAAAAGTGGTCACTTCCCACCCTACCTGCTGAGATACAAGGGCTGAACGGTGGCTAAGGAAGTTTTCACCTGCAGGAACTGCTGCCTGGCTGCTCTTATAAAGGAACCAAAGGGAGGGGGAAGATTTCTGTCCCACCAAGGAAGCTGATGGATGGTGAAGGTGTGGGAGAAGGAGTCCCTGTAGGCACATGGGGTGGCCAGTTAAATATCTCCAACATGCATCATCAAAAAGTGGAGGGGGGCAAAAGTGGACCCATGATTTGCATAGGCTAAGTTACATGTTCAGCTGCAAAGCTCTTAGTCCTAGTTCCAAGAGACCCATCGAACTGAATGTGGAAAGTCAATCATGACTAACTTGATTTCAGTGCATTTCCTCTGCATAGGATAAGATTAACATTCCATGGAACCTTTGGAAATAATAGAAAGAGACTGTGAGTGTTGACCTGTGTGCCATGCTCCACCTGCCGTCCAGGTGCTCTGCACAGACGGGCAGCCTCAAGGTGGGTAGCTCCTGTTGCTCTCCCCACTGAGGGTCCTCCTCATCAGATTTGGAACAGACTGAGTGGAGCTCTCCGCTTGGCAGCAAAGAGACGCACGTTCTGCATTGCAGGAGGCTGCCTGCGGAGCTAGTTTAATCTGCAAACCAGTGGCTGCAGATCACAGTTTGGTGCCACCATTTCTAGAAACCATACCTGAGATTTCGATTATTTATGCTTAGCTAATTAACTTAAATACTACTGGAGAAAGAGGCATGAGTGAGAAGCAGATTGATTAACAGATGCAGATATGCTGTGACTCATTCAGATTGTGCTGAATAAATCACATTGTTTTCCTGTAAAACTGAGGTGGGCAGAGAAGGGAGTCCCTGGAGGCTTAAAAGTGGCTGACTGGCTGGGCTGAACAACCTGGTTTTTCTAGAGCAGCTGCTAGAAGGAGGAGGTCGTCCACGGTTTGGAGACTTAAAACATGTTTGATTGGTTGAGCTGAATGGAGCAGCTGCTGGGATAAGATGGTGGAATGTGACCTGGAGACTTTTCAGTGGCCATTAATGGACACGTGCAAGCTAATTCACGCAGCTAGGAGTGTGTGTGGTTTGCTGGCCACAGGACTGATGGCATCCCTCTGGCAAAGCCCTGAAGCAAGAGGCAACTCAAGAATACTTTCCCAGGGCAGGCAAACTGCAGACATAGCTCCTTGTCTCATTTTCTGAGGTTGTTGAGGCATTTTGCCTGCTGGGACAGCCTGGGGTCAGCATCCTTCCTCCCTCCCTCTCACACTCATCTGCTAGCCTTTATTTAGCAAGAAAACCTTAAACTGCATTGTACCTGATGATTTTCCAGCTTGTTGGCAGGGAAAAACAGAAACATCGCCTTACAGTTTAAGTCAGTTCTAGCTTCTAGCAGTGAGATATTTAGGGATTTGAGATCTGCTGAGCCTACCTCTGTTACTGTAGCGATGTGCTCTTGCCATTTCATTTTTGGCTAGTTTGTGGAATGGTGATGACTATCCGGTAGAGTTTCTTGTTTGTTTTCTCTTTGGAATGAAGTTGTGCTCGAGGATGTTCTAAGGATATTCAGCCAGTGTCAAACCCCGTGCTGCTTTCTAATTCCTACTTTTGTAGGATGTTGTTAACACATAGAAAGCACACAACATTTGCTGTGCATGCAAAGTCCACAATATTTAAAGGTTACACTAGTACGTAGAACCTCTACAATCAAGTAATTGGCATTTTAGCTTTAAAAAAAGCAATTTTTGCCCCTTTAACCAGAGGTGTCAGGACTCCAATCTGAAAAAAAATTAGATGGGTTTATCACAAAAGGCAGCATTCCAGTAGTTTGTAACAAAGAGTAATAGACATGTCAATCATGGTGTATAGTTATACACCAGCTTCCTGAATGGGGAAAGGGGATGCTTTTGAGCTCAGTGGTATATAGTGCATTTAATGGGACCAAAGCTCTCTCTAGGAAGCCCAATATAAAACCCAGAGACATGGAGTGTACATTTTATGAACCAGCCTCTCTCTGTTCCGCTGCTTGATCTAAGGTTCCAGTGCTATCAATCAGAAACCTGTGAGGAATGAACCTTATAGAAGGTGATGGATTTTACACATGACAGATCAAAGCCGCAATATAAAGTTACTTTTATTTTTAGTTTCCAAATGAAGATCGCTAAGCCTTTGCTATGGCTTTCCCCTTGCCCTGCTGGTAAATGGCTGTTTCCAAGAACTTCCATGGAGGGCTTGCTGTGTTTTGTTTGCAATCTCTCAGAGCAGGGATAGCCAACCAGTGACCTCCAGACTTTTGGACTACAGGTCCCATAATTGATGGCCACTGGCCCTGCTTGCTTCCATAATCCCTGGCCATTGCTGACTGGGGATGATGGGAGTACACAATGTACAGATAGTATAGAATGTCTGGAGGGCAGAAGGTCTGAGAATCCTTCTGCTTATCTAGTATTTAGATTCTTTCTTTCTGTTCTTTGTAAACTGTTTGCTTGGGGAAATTGTCGGGGTCCAGTTTCTGGATGGGACCTTCACTTTTCAAAATCTTTCCCTTCAGACTGGTGATGCTTTCTCCTTCTTGGTATACAGTGTTGTGATCCCACATGAATAAACCTGTCCCAGTTATTTCTCTGCTATGTGATTGCCCCACTCTTCTGCTTTTTCTGGAAAGTTCAGAGCTTCCTAAATGAGGCTTTTGGTGGTTTCCTCTTTGTGGATCAAGTCATGTCCTCATTGCATGAGTGAGGGAGAAACACTGCACCATCACCTGTTCCCACATCATCCTCTGGGTAGGCCCATTTAAAACAATAAATTTTCACAAGGTTCAACCTAAACACGTCTTGAACTCCATTCAAGGTGAATACAGTATGAACACCGTGTTGGTTGATCACTGCAGAGCTTTGTGGTGTCTGTAATTTGGGGATTGTTGCCTTTACCTATAAGCACTGGGAGGCAGATGTGGAGGCAGAAGACCTCTCAGTCACATGGAGTTGCTGGCTGGACAGGCTTCCTTGTTGATATCAGCAGTCCATGCTGTGCTGGGTAGATCAAAGTTGTGTAGAAAGGAGATTTCCAGATGTTTCCAATTGCAGATTCCATCTAGAACAGCACATTTAGAGTGCTTTTGCCAAATTAAAAACAAAACACAAGGACCTTATCTATGGAAAACTAGCATATCAGCCTTCTCCCTGATATGCTAGCTTTCTGTGTTCAGAGTTTTGCAAATGCAAAAAATGCAGGCATGCTCATGCCCGCAACATATAGAAAGAAGGGAGGAGAGAGAGGAGAGATTGCTTTATCCACAATCCAAAATACTGCAGTGGGGCAACATCTATAGCAACATTTGTTGGTCTTGTAGTTCAGCTGTAAGTGGCAGGGGCGCCAAGCCTTAAACAAGGAATTTCATCACATTGAATGTTGACTTCCAGGTTGGAATGCAGTGTGTGCTTCAGGTAGGAATGTACAATGCAGGTATCCCTTGCTTAACATGGTTTTGATTAATGTGGGTTTTGATTAACATGGTAAATTTAATTGTGACAATCCCTTGATATATGTG